CATCGATGTCGCGAACATTCAATTACAGAGACATGACTTAGCTGGATATCGCGTGACGGACTAAGATGTGTATTTTGTCCACTCTTCCAGATCGAAATATTTCGTTCGTATTGTCAACCCGTTGTGCCGCCAGTTTTGTCAGATTAAGTACACTCATTTTCCTTTTAATCAAATTAATTATCGTTGTTTGTGTAATAGATCTACCAAATTTGACGGTTATCAGCTATCCAAAATCAGCAACGTTTCTTATTTATAAAGGAGAATTTTCACCGGCCGATGATATAGTGAATGTTAGTGTTATGATTCCAATTACTGATCACGGATGTTATTTGGTACCTGCTAATGCAGCTACTATGATTCCTCAATGTCGGCAAAAGCATCAAGAAAAAAGATCTATTTTAGCCGGTATTTCTCTCCTCACAGCAGGAGCTACACTCGGACGCAATTGAAATTAAAAAATTGCAAACAAGAATGAACGATTTTGCGTCATCGTTAAACACTATGTCTAACAAAGCTGATGTTTACGTAGCGCAAATCGTTCATTTAAATGAAGGACAAGTACGACTTGGTCAAGAACTGAAATATACTCAGCAGAGTCTGAATTCTACAATTTCACGGGTGAATAATATTGCAATGGCTGTCAATGCATTAAATGTAAGTTATCCTGTTATTCATTTATCGTTTTCTCTAATGAAAGATCTCTTGCTTGGATTTGTCGGCCGATCAGTCCTGTTCATTAGCTAATTTCTATTGTATTTTTTAATTTTATAGGATTCTGTTATGTATCTCGCAAGAGAACTTGGCGAATTGAAACTTTTGTATCAACAGTCATTATTGTATTCCGCAATGAATGATATGTTAAACAACAGACCGACTTTATCTTATGTTCATAACAGGGACATGGATGTACTGATAGCTTCGGTGCTAAATGATACTGATTTGTACATAAATACAACCTATGCTGAGTATGGTTTAGCACAATTATTGACTGAACATCTCTTCTTCCAACATATTTCGTTCGTCTCAAGCAAAAACTATAACACTCCAAATAAAGACGAAATAGGTAAGTAACTGCACAACACTATTAGTCATGTAAATCAGTGTATTAGTCTTGAGCATCACTGTAAGAAAATACACTAATACATAGGTGCCACGATCTGAAATTTTTTAGAATAATTCAATTACAAGAAAACTTTCGTGAAATTGTGCGACATTAAGGGGGTCCCCCCACCCGTTCTTTTCCAGCAGTTTGTGGAGGACACTTCGAAGTATACATCTCAACAAATCTTTCAGTTCCCAGATTTACAGTTTTTGATAAAAAAAATTTTAAGTTTTTTTTGGTTTTTTGCCGTATTTTTAAAATTTCAATAAAAACTTCATTTTTTGATATGAAGAGTTGATTCTAGCGTAGTTCGATAGAGAACATTAATTTGTATAAGGAGAAAAACTAGCACAACAATAAAATGTCCGGGTAATCCCGGTTTTGACTTAACCGCCCCGTCGCTTCCCTCTCAGT